TTAAATATATATATTTTGGGTTCTGCAAACAACGCTCTGTTATTTGTGTGTATGCAATTGCTGTGTTATCTATATACCTGTGTTGCCCTGTTCTATATTTAGCATTCCAAATTTAAATGCCCCGTGATTGGCTGGTTATTTTGAAACCTTACAGGTGTGTCAATCGTTTGTATATATTTTACCTATCTATTTCGAGTTCATGTACAGTAGTACACTGTACTTGTACGGTAACTGGTGATGTGCGCAATTCAAGTTTGTATTTAAAACAAACAAAAATTAGCTTGATACATAAAACTGAACCATTAGAATTATCTATAGGAATTTCACACATTTTGATAAATCAATAAAGTATAATTTTTAAATAATTCCTGCAGGAATTAATACTTAATATTTTTCTTTAAAAAAGTTAAATAATCCTTTCATAATATTGTACTTTAATGACAGAATTTTTTACCTTTTATTTTTAATTCAAAAAAATCTCTATTTTTGCTCTTTTTATGTCCCCACTATATTTTATATACATGAGTAAACATCATAAATTGCATCAAAAAGTTTAACGAATGTTGTAACATCTACAGTTTTTACATATTTTTTATTTCAACCTCGAAATTATCAAGGCGCAGACTAACAGCAGCATACAATTTTATACGGCTTATACAACTTAACAGTACACTGCATCTAAGTGCCACTTTGTTTTTTTTTTTTTATATAGCTAATATATAATATGTGCTCCGTTATTTACGAATGAAGTTTGTAAGTGAAAGTTACACAGAAATTCAGACTGGGTAAAAATTCAAACCAAGTCTCTAATTAATTCAAGTTATAGAAGTAAACAGATCATGTGATTATATATATCAATGTGTGTAAGCTTTTACCTGATTTGGTGTCATCGATTGGTTTCTCCGGGGTCAGTTGGGGGAATTCGTCCCTTAGCCTCCCTATCTTGTCAAGGATTGTCTGTTTGTGATCCTTGGAGGACTTGGATAAGGATTCTTTCTTAATTGTTTCTACCAGAAACTTCTCCACATCTGCAGTCAAGATACACGTATTATATATATAATGGTGGAGAGGGAGAGAAAGAGAGAGAGGGGGTTGTTGAATTTTAATTAGCTGTTTAATCACAGTAAATCACATTTAATTAATAGATTAGTCAAGCCTATTCCAAAATTATGGCACAAGAGTCTTCATATTTTGAACTTCCTTGACTAATGAACATTAAGTACGAGTTATTGACCAGGACCGCGGGGAATCGGGAAGGGGGGGGGGCTGATTTGACTTGGATTTCAGATGATTTCCTTTTCTTGTCCATCTAATGTCATCATTAAATAAAACAGAGTTGTACTTTTTATGTCAACGTAAGCAAGTGTAGTTAAAATGCATACAACTTTCAAAATAATTGCTAGGGATACGTGAGTTCAGCTGACATAATTCCTTTCAACAGCTAATCTTGTTTTCGGTATTTTTTCTTGAAATAAAAGGGCCTTAATTTTATGTAAATACCCCTTTTTGAAAAACAAATCTTCAAAGTTATTTTGCTAAAAGAACAAATGTTCATTATCAATATATTTAAAATAAATGTTTCTAGATCTTTTTCTTAAAATTACTGAAAAAGCTGCTAAATACATCAGAGACAAAGAAAAAGAAACGGGTTTTTTTATGAAAAAAAATCTGGGTTAGGAAAGAAGTGTTCCTTCTATACCCTCCCCGTATGGCCTTTTTTGAAAGCCTGGGAAAAAGCCCGAATTTCCACCTGGTCATGATGTATCCGTGGGTAGTATGTAAAGAGGGAAGTGTCAATATTCGATACAGGAAAAAAAAAGAAACATCAATATTTTGACCTGTGTGTCAAGATACGAACTGACCTATATCATTTCTTGCTTTCATTCATTAAAAAGCTCTATTATATAAATATTGCATGTTGTTGTGTGTAACATTGAAAATTTTCACCCCAAGAAAACCATTGTCAACTGAGGCACAGCCGAGGTTGACAATGGTTTTCGAGGGGTGAAAATTTTCAATGTTACACTCAACTACATGCAATATTTATTATATTATACTGAATGTTTTATACAAATACATATAACAGTGAACCGTGCGCGCATAAATTCTGCGCAGTCGCTATTTTTTTGTATATCACCCGTCGTCAAGCAATGTTGACTGTTGCTACGCAGGAGGGCGTGGCTTTATTATTCTGCGGGTAACAGTGTTTTTTAAACAAATGTTTCTCGACGAATCAGGTTCAAGTAATTTACATGAAAGTATAATATTCTGAAATATCTGACGTTTAACAGGTCTTATTTTTTTTTTTTTTTTTTTTTACAGTTTTGATATTTTACAATATATCAATATTTTAAAATATCAAAATCGTAAAAAAAAAAGGATCTGGAAAACGTCTGATATTTTGGACAAATTATGTACTAGATATACATACATGTAACATCAAAGCTGGGCAATATTTAGCCTAAAAGAAGCAAGAAGTTGATGAACATAATCATGCATTGTCAATCATAATAAAACTCTAATTGCTCGATACTTGTCGATACTTTTCATTGATATGTATTGTATACGACGGTTAAAATAACTTTGTTGCCAGTAAATTTTAATATCATACCTTTATCACCTGCATATGGGGTTTATACCTCTCAGTTGATTCGATACGCAAGAGCATGCTCTAGGTATGCACTATTTCTAAAATGAGGTAAGTTACTGACAAACAAGTTGATGAAACAGAAATATATTAATCTCGTTTAAAGTCATCGTTTCACAAGTTATATGTCTATACAATGACTTAATTTGTCAGCTATAACAGTCTATCATTAAGTCAAATGCTGACCGACATTTTTATATGTTAGCTGTGATTATGTTATGTTTATGCCCATTGGGGGTATTTATTTGGAAATAAATTTTATCCTATTCCGTGGATTTTCCCATCATTTCACGATCATATAATAAGTAACACACAGTGGGTGTGGTCGTTTGACAAGGGAAGCTCACTCCTCCATGACACCTGATCCCACCACTGATGTTTTAGAGGACTGTGTTTGCTCTGCTACTGATTTGTATTTTTTAAAATTGACTTTTGAGCTTGTATAGTGTTCGTTATCTCCATTTATTTTCATTTTTGAATGGAGTAATCCCCAGTTGCCGGGATTCACCCATCGTCTCAAGCCACGGTCCGGAGCCCGCATAAAGCTGTCTCCAGAATGGGAGAGGATCGTACATTTTGGCCGTGGTTTGCGACGATGGGATTCACCAGAATTCCAAGACATCATGCAATGCAGTCAACATTTATTAGCCTTTTGATGTAACTCGCGAAACTTTTATCATCTACAAAAATTAGCAGGAGTAATCATTATATATTAGCTTAATTCAGTTAATTACTTTGTGGGATATTTCACAATGCTTACCAATTAGAAATTCCTTAAAGGTTTCGTAAATGGTCGTCATTTTTCTAGAGGAAAGTGATAAAAATCATGCCAGAAACCAGGAAGAAACTGACTTTTTCTGCTTCCTTGTTTACATTTTTCGTTTTTTGGGGATCTCGAACCCGACTAAAACAGAAGGCGTTATCTTTCTGGCACACACTATATATTCTTTGAAATCAGATATTTAAAGAAATTGACAACTTGGGGTAAATGTGATTATAAAAAATATAACATAAGAAAAGTCCAATTAAAATATTTATTTCATATCATTTTATAATGCATATATAGAATAATTGAACAAAACAATTTACACCCCCTTTCAGACTCCTTAACAGGTCATCAAGCTGCAGAGTATGTTTTATATATTAAAGTCATCTGCAACTAAGCAAAACATTAGAACTTTGTTACAAATCAACAATCATTCATACAAATTTGTTGTATTGACTTTACAAGTGTGAAGATATTTTTAATAAAAAAATCGAGACAGAATTCTGCAGAAAAAGGTAGATAATCCTTTATCATACGATCAGTTTTTAAAACTTTTCCCCAATATGTGTGCATTCATCAAACAGGGTTATACTGATTCAATTTTTGGATTTTTAAAAAATCATATCAATATATCGCATTATATAAAGCAATATTTTTTTAAAAATATCATTCCAATTCATTTAGATTTTTTAAAACAATTAAGTACCTTTTTTGTATCAAAACATCTGGTTAATAGTCAGTGACTCCAAAAACACAAACAAAAAAACAACAACCTAGCAAATTCAAAGAATTGTGGTCCCCTGCTTTCTGTGTCCTAGCTAGTGGATGGGATGTCAAATATGAATGCCCCATCATGTCCTTCAAAAATAATCATCATATTGAAAATTTTGAAAATAAGTATGTAAAACAAGATCAAATCCTAGCATGCTTCTCTTTCAAAAGCTATGAACAATTTAATGTTAAAATTTTTGAAAAGTAGGTTGAACTTCAAGGTCAGGGTCATGGGGGTCAAAAATCATAGTATATTTGGAAGGTCTTGTCACAGGTAATTTACATGTGAAATAAGTAAGCCCTTTCTCTTCTCATTCAAATGTTATGACCATGCAAGATTAAAGTCTTTGTGACAGATGGACAGACTGAAAGATGGACAGATTGACTGACAAATGAGATTTAATGTTCCCTCACTTTTGCAAAAGCAGGGGACCAAAAAAACATTAGCATATAGTACACATACAGTATTTGACAAAAACTGAATCTGTACCCAATATTATACTAAACTGAATTCCTATTGTAAGAAATACACAATGGACTATACTACAATTTTATCAATTTATTTTTTTTGTTGCAACTATTAAGCTGTAAGATACTGTGCCACCAAACAATCTTCAAAGCATTTAAATAAAGCAATTAAAAAAGCTATCTTCTTTATACCCTTTTCTCTCTGACACCATAGGGAATGTGCAAGCAATGAGCATTATGGCTAATTTTGAAAACAATCCGATGCAACTTCATCACCACTCTTAATTATTTCTAAGACTTTAATAGATTTCCTGTTTGTTAATAGGATGTGTTCATGAAATTTTATCCTTATACTCATTAAATTACAAATAAAATACAACAAAGAAAGGACTAATATAAATAAAATGGAGACTACATTTCCCACAGAAAAAAATACACTTGTAAACATACCAGTACTATTTGCATTTATGTACTTGATATGTGTTTGGACCCTCCATATTTGCAATGCTCTACTGTGTAAACTTCTGGCACATTAACCCTGAACAATTTACATATGCACAGGAAAGTAAAAGCACTTATCAAACATTGGAATTTGAAATTAATACATCTATATATTCATAAAATAAAAAACAATAATTATGAATACATCAAAACATACATTCATATTCATATTGAGATTAATTTTTTAAGTTTCTTTGTATAATGAAGAGATTTTGGTGTTGATTAAATGCATAGTTGTGTACCAAAAACAAACAATGTGGACTTTAAATCAAGGATTTATAAACAAAGTAAAATGGTTTTGAAGTGAAAAAGTAAAAAGGAACACAGAGACATAAAATAAAATCTAAAATAACATATATACATGCTATCAAATATTTTTGAGTCAAATAATTGTTCACTTGTGAAATATGGATTCATTGTGATAAAGCATCCTAAAGGCTTCTCCCCGTCAACTAATGGCCGCCTTGTTCCTGTAACAGTAGACCTGTAGGAAGATGGAAATATCGATTCCCACTTGTAACATCCCACAGATCCAGAACTGGGCCGGAGCTTGACGGACAATGAAATAGCCCGTCTTAAAGCAATCTCCACAGGTCCACATAGCTACCATCTTTTTACTGCAAAGACATGGGACAATCTCTTGTTAAACAGTTAAAAAAAACAAACAAAAAACAAGGCCCATGGGCCACAATGCTCACCTGAATCACCTTCATTTTGCATTCTTCATATTTTTCAATATTTTACCCCCTTTGTAATCCAATAAAAAATATTAGCTACTGAATAATAAATGCTCAGGTATATAATATCTATTGACTATACATTTACAGCCACAGCCCCCCTTTGCCTTCCATTTTTTTTAAATCTAGGATTTACACACCTTTTTCCCATTTTGTTAGTCTAATATGCACTACTTGTTATCGATAATGTAACCTATCGATAATGTAACCCGTTTGTCTTTATATTTTTAAGTATCAGTCGAAACGATATATTTAAAAACAGTTTAGAGACAAAAGGGTTACATTATCGATATCAAGTAGTGCTTATTAGACTATCAAAATAGACAAGAGGCCCATGGGCCTTATAGGTCACCCGAGTATCCCATAATTGAATTTGATCCATCTTTTAAACCTGAAGACATGAAATTAACAATTTTGAAAGAGGCATCAATGCTTATCATAATTATATACTTAGCATGCTTACTTTTGTTACTTAATACCCAGAGGTAGATCAGAGTAACAAAGAGAACATTCAAGAGAACATTCATTTCCACTTTGTAACCATTTGTGCACCCCTCCCCACCGGAACCACTGACCCTGGGGCAACATATTTCAAAATTTTGGAAATTTTATCATGAATTTTATTTCATCATTAATTTTTGATTAATATCACGTGCAGATTTCAAAGCATTAATTTATATTCAGACTATGTACCCTTCCCCCTACAAATACCTCTGACCCAGGGGCCCGAAAATTAACCATTTTTGAAGAGCCAGCTTTCTTCATCAAAAATATGTACTTAGATCATAGGCATAATATCCAGGAGCAAAGGAAAAGATTTTCAAAGAACTCATGCATTTTCATTATATAACCATTAGAGCCCCGCCCTAACACAAGAAGCCCTGACCCAGGGGCCATGCAATTCACAAATCTCAAAGAGGCATCCTTCCTCCTCAAAACTACATAAATAGTTCATTGGTTTAATACCCAAGCGCAGAAAAGAAGATTTTCAAAGAAATAATTCATTTTCCCTATATAATCTTCTTCTTTATAGCCATGCTCTAGCACTAACACCCCTGACCCTGCGGCCATGCAATTCACAATTTTGGAAGAGGCAGCCTTATTTAACTTACCGGGTATCTATGCACATCTTGGTTAGTTTATTTAATGCCCATGAGCAGAGAAGAATTTCAAAGAAGTTATGCATTTTCACTATACACTGTATAATCTATATAGCCCCGCCCTACAACTAGAACACCTGACCCTGGGGCCATGAAATTCACAATTTTGGAAGAGGCAGCCTTATTCAGCATAACTATGCACTTGGTTAGTTTAGTTGATACCCATGAGCAGAGAAGAAGAATTTCAAAGAAGTTATGCATTTTCACTATATAATCTATATAGCCCCGCCCTAGTAGCATTAGAACCTCTGACCCTGGGGCCATGAAATTCACAAATTTGGAAGAGACAGCCATATTCAACTTAACTATGCAATTGGTTATGTTATTTAATGCCCAGGAGCAGAAAAAAAGAACTTCAAAGAAATAATGCATTTTCACTATATGATCTATTTAGCCTCACCCTAGCACTAGAACCCCTGACCCTTGGGCCATGAATTTCAAAAATTTGGTAGAGGACACTATGTTGATTACAATCATACTCAGTTTGACTGCTTGATGTCCAGGAGTAAAGAAGAAGATTTTAAAGATTGCACTAATTTTAGAGGTTTTGGCCTCACCCCCAAGCCCTAGGGGGGCAGGGACCATGAAATTCACAATTTTTGTTCCCCTTCAACCATAAATGCTATATGCCAAAATTGGTTGAAATTGGTTCAGCGGTTTCAGAGAAGAAGCTGAAAATGTCCAAATGTTAACGCACGATGACAGACAAAAACGGATAAGAATAAGTCACCTGAGTTTACTCAGGTAACCTAAAACAAGATGTGTTTGTGAAACACTATGCGCCGGGTGGCAACAAAGTTCGGAAAAAGCTATTTTTAGCATTAAGGTCACAGTCAAGGACACAAGGTCATTGACCTTGGTGTCATTTGGAAGAATCTGATTAGTGGAGTTTGCATACCAAATATGAAGTCTCTATCTTTCATGGTTCAAAAGTTATGGCGAAGGTTAAAGTTTGCAGAAAAAAGCTATTTTTAGCATACAGGCCACAGTCAAGGTCACAAGGTCATTGACCTTGGTGTCATTTGAAAGAGCTTAATTAGTGGAGTAATACTCCACTAATTAAGCTCTTTCAAAGTCTCTATCTTTCATGGTTCAAAAGTTATGGTGAAGGTTAAAGTTCGGGACAAACAACAAACAAACAGACAGACAGACAGACAGACAGGACAAAAACAATATACGCCCTGGATCTGTCGATCCGGGCGCATAAAAAGCCCCCAAGTGCCTGTGTTTACAGCAATTACCAATTAACCTACCTCATGCCATGTGTAGACTTGTTTACAAAGTTCCTATAGAATTGGGGAGCACCTAACATTGCTTCTGCAAATACGGCAAGGAAGCCGATAGTCTCTACAAAGTACATATTGTCTAGAAATATCCACGTTAGTAGTCCCACTATAACTGTAAAAGCTGCTGTGAACTGCAAATAGCTGCTAAAGTAGGTCCATTTCCAGAAGTGGGCTCTGTCAAAATCTGAAATCAAAAATCAAAGGAGTGTACAAGTGTCTACAAGGTAAACTGTATGTTTATATGAGAAATCTAGCACTGCCAGTACACTGTGCAGATACTGTCAAACTCGAATATCACAACATGAAAAGCTACATGTAAAGCAATTACCCTTGCCATTCCCTAACATGTTATATGAAGCTAAGAGCATTAATTTATGAAGAACATTACTGGATTTTAACAATTTGTCAAACTGTGAAGCAAAAAAGCAACTGATACCATTAATGATGCTGTAATCATGAAAGTCTACTCATTGGAGTAATTTATTTGTAGAACCCAGGATGAACATATTCCACGTACACATGTATACACTTAGTGTTATTTTTGTATAAGTGCTTTCTCCAGGTCTACAGTACCAGTGGTCCAAAAAAAAATCAACAGATATCACAAATGATACTCCTTACCTTGGCTTAAACCCTTTCTTTCTAAGATCACACATACAATTCAGACTGAAAGCACTTGTGCAAACAAATAAAACTTCAAAATCAAATTAAAGACAAATACTGAAACTTGTGCTGTCTTGATAATAACTTGGATGGGTATCCAGAACTGTGCTTGACATATAAAATCCTGAATCCATGCATTTTGACAGTGCATAAACAAAGAGTTTCCTTTACGGAGGATAAGTGTCAATGTGTGTCATGCATAGTGAATCCAAAAGGGGAGGAAATTCTATAGACTACAAATTTGTCATGCGGTTTAATTCAAGCTTCAAAGGATCTGGGCTGCACCACGGCAGACTCTTGCATATATTTATATATACAGTATATTTTTTAAAATATTAAGATTAAATATAATATGTGTTAATACTTTTACCTTAAAATTCCTATCATCATGCGAACTAAAAAGCAGTATTTTAGCAAGATATTCCACTAGGATTTCTTTCTTATCTGTCCTTATAAAATCCACAAAGATATATCTGACTTTTTACGCAATAGCCCTGTCCAACAAATGAATCCTACCTCCATTGTGAAAGAATTCAGCTAAGTTAAGTAATCGCGATATCAAGTACTAATTAATATCTTGTTACTGAAAATCATCATCATGATATTGCAGATCATTAAATTATCAAGACAACTTATTTTCTTGATATTGTTAAAGATTGTTTCTTTTATATAGGTTAACTTAATAACTTACTGTGAAATCACATATTTTCAAGGGGTCAAATTTTCTTGGTTTGAGAAAAATACATTGGTTTGTGGGGATTTGATTACCTGGTTGAAGAATTGTTCAGTATAGTAATATATGTGAAAAATTGCATTTCAAGGTGGACATAGATGTAAATTTGTGGGTCTTATCATACCTTGCAAACAACGAAAATTTAACCTCCAGGAAAACTTGTGATTTCACAGTATAAGCAAAACAAAATTTTCACAAAGTATGGTTATTGCGTTTTAGAATAACTAATTTATGGTAGAATTGTACACGAAAAATGAAATTTTTGTGAAGGGACTGTTTATACGAAAAAATAAAGTCCTTTGGAATAAAAGGTGATTTACCTCTGTTTTAATACAGTAATTTGAAAATTGGTAATATTTGGTCATTCCATAATACTTATACATGTATCACATTGTGAACTTTTGTTGAAACAAGTCACATAGATACTGATCGAAACAAGAGATGTTTGTAAAACACTTATGCCCCCTCCCCCCAAATTAGAACTTTTCTAAGTCCGAGGGGCATGACTCTGTCAAAAATGGTGAGAACGTACCTAAAACAGAACTTGACCTAGATATGTATCTGATAAACCTGTATACTAAATTTCATTTCAGTATGTGCGACCTCTCTGAAGAAAATGAGCGGAATATATGCAAATAATTGGAATTTTTTAAGTCCAAGGGGCATAACTCTGTCAAAAATGGTGCGATCGTACCCAAAACAGAACTTGACCTAGATATTTATCTGATATACCTGTATACCAAATTTCATTTCAGTATGTGCAATGGCTATGAAGAAAATGAACGGAAACTAAATTGACCGACAGACAGCAGCAAAGCAATATGCCCTCCCTTCTTTAAAGCGGGGGGGGGGGGGGGGGGGGGGGGCATAGAAAAAAAAAAATGTCAACATCAATATTCAACTGAACATAAATGTAAGAACAACAGAGAAAGCAACTGTTATTAAATGTTTAAATAAATTTAAAATGTTTTGTTAGTATAAAAATATTATACAATCCATTCTGCACTGAAACATATGCAAGAGACTGCGGAATACAATCTTGAGCAAGCAGTAACACATGTAAATGCTACCTACCAACAAATTTTCTCACAGGGACAACAGTACGATTTAACCGTTGACCAACTTCACCATTATTTGGATGAGCAGAAAATGAATCTGAACAAATTTTGACAATATTTAAAATTTGCTTTTGTAATAAATTAATAAAAATGATATTTGAAACTGAAATTTTCATATTGAGGATAAAGATGACATGATGTTTTGGTTATGGGAAATCAATTTGGACAGTGGAAAAGAGGACATCACAACAAACCAAACAGGATATAATTAAAATATTTACACCCAAAAAGTAATCAAGACTAGAGTCTGACTAACTAAATAATGGTATGTTTAGCTTGTCATTTCAAAGCTTCATTAAAAATAAACCAATCGTGTTTTGTTGAGTTAATTCTATAGAAAGAAAATCATTCTTTGGTTGAATTACAACAAGAAACTTACCGCTGAACTTGTGCTCTTTTGAAGCTATGAGCTCTCCCTTGTGTTTGACTCGAACACACAGCTCGGTCAAAGCTAACATAGTGAACACCATGATGATGCTCTGGGCTAGTAAAGGCAGCTCAAAATGTCGACCAAACCTGTAAATGATTCCATAATAAACAAATGTATAGAATTAAACAAACCCATGGGCTGCAATGCTAACCTGGGTCACTAAATGATCGTGCTAATTTCTATAAGCAGTCTATTTTCCAATAAATTTTTATGTAAAACTTCCCCTTGGTGATATAATCTGAATAAAATCAAGGAAATGCTTTCATATTACAATATCTAATGTGTTCTTGAGAAGTTTTGTAAAGAATTATTCCATATATTATTCTATGAAAAACTTTGTGTGCATGTATACTGACACTGTGGACTCAACCTAGCCTTGAGGGACATGGTTTGTACAAACTTGAATCCTAAACTACATGTATGTAATGAAACTTTCTTTTATGTTAAATATTTTCTGGTCCAGTTGTTGTTGAAAAGACTTTTAAAAGATACTATTAATTTTTCACCAATTTTAATTATCTTCTCTTGAAAGAGGAGGTGGTTCTTCAACAGGACATGCAGACTTGAATTCTATATAAATACCGGTACATGGATGATTTTATGCCAAGATTGCATGATTTAATTGGCCCAGTGGTTTTTGTGAAGAATTGAAAATGTGAAAAGAATATAACAATGATGCTGCCATCCAGCTCTGATAACAGTGATGACATAACAAATTCTGGTCAGAAAAGCTCACTGTAAATGTTAAAAAAGTTGTGGGTCAGAGAGACAGGAACTGGGTGTATGTTTGTTTGTTGCTTAACATCCCTCTTGAGAATTTTTCACATATACGGAGAAACCAACACTTGCTCTTGGAGAGCTGTCAATTTTTGTCCTATACTCGGCACTTACAGCCATAGACCAGTGAGGGATCTTTACTGTGCCAGCACCTAGTGCAACACGGGATGTCCATTTATACAGTCTTATCAAAAGGACTGGTCTCCACATCCCACAGTGGGATTCGAACCTGAGAAGCA